GTGTATGGTTTGCGATATCAGAACCCACAACATATCACTTATATCTGCTACTCTTAAATTGTTCATGCTTAAATTTGAAAATAACCATCTCCTGGTGAATTTAAAATGATTTAAAATAAAATAGAATCCCATTCCAGGGCCAAAAAGATGGCCCAGTGGGTGAAGCACTTGCTGTATAAGCCTGGCATCCGTAGAGATTCAAAAGGACTAAAATAGCCACGGGTATGTTTATCAACAATGATCGCTGCTCCTCAGATACACTATGGAAACTGCAAAACATTATTGAAAGACATGAAAGTCAAGGCTATAACTTAGTGGCAGAGTACTCGTCTGAATAAAGTTAAGAAGAAACAACTTGGAAGTAGCAATGTTCAATTTCAAGCACCATAGTAAGAAATAACCTTTGTAAATGGAAAGAGAGTCTGTGTTAAGAAGGCAGTCTGTGTGTGGCGACACATTCCTATTGACAAACACAAAAACCTGTCTCTGTAAAGAATGTTGTTGGAACACTTTGGGGAAATCTGAACAAAGTTGCAGACTAGTTGATAATCTTTATCAATGTCAGCCTTTTAAATTCAAAACTTTTGCTCTTTACATAAGTAAGCTCAACCCCAGTATAGCAACTGCAATCCCTGGAATTGGCAGGCGAAGGCAGGAAGGTAGAAAGTGTCATCTTTAGCTACATAGTGGTTTTGAGGTAAGCCTGGGATTCACGAGACTCCCTACCCCCACCACACACACATAAAATAATTACGACAAAAATCCTATCTAAGCTGATATAGTGACACACACACCTTGTTATTTTTAAGGAAAATTGACCTTATGCCCTTTCATTTGCAGCTTAAAATTAGTTTGTCATGGTCAATGAAAAATCGTGTTGGGGGTTTGATTAAGTTGCATTGAGTTCTATGTGATCACTTTGAGGATCTATTGCTATTTGAGTCAAATGGGGTTTTGCAAAAAGTTGGATTCTGTGGGGATGCTGAGAAACGTGGCAAACACAAAGAACCGGCCTGTATGTCTTGGCGATCCTTTGATCATTTCATTTTATTCATTATTCATTAATTCATTACCAACTTACCCTGCTTCCTACCACCTTTGCAAAGTGGGAGGAGGGAGGAAAATGGCGAGGGTGCAGAATGAGTATTGACTGGCAGGCATTCAGCGCTCTTCTCAGACTTTTCTCCGGTGTGTTTTCAGGGGACACACTATTTGAAAACCGTGGGGCTGAAGGTAAAGGTTGAGAAAAAAAAGAGAATAAAGAATGCAAGTTGGATATGCTTCAGAGGGAGGCCGTGCATTTTGTAAAGGTTAAAGCTGCTATTCTTAATGCCTGTGAGACCCCCGAAGTTCAAGGACAGGAATTCTGCATGGGGACTGAGGGCTGCAGAGAAGTGATATTTAAGTTGGGGGTGGAGGGCGGGTGGAGGGGGCCCAGATAGGGCGAGAGTTCCTAGAGTACCAAGGTATCTGAGGTGGGACCGTGCTGCACGGATTGGAGAAAAAATGTACAGGTATTCCAAACACTGGAGACAAATAACACGTGCACGAATCAGTGATGGGTGCGCGGGAGGCAAGAGGGAGAGATGCATTTGGAACGATAAGTAATTGGCACGATCATGCAAATCGATGTGTACCAGGTTAAGGACTTCGGACTTTGTCCTGGGACACTAGTGGATACTCTTGAACAGAAACGTAGCTAGATCCCCAGCCGGCTTCAAGATTACTGCGACGGCGATGGAGGAGACCAGGTGGTCCTGTCCCGACCAGCGGTGCCACCTTTCTACCTGCAGGGGGCGCTGTCAGGGCCGGGCTCCTCCCCGCCCCCTCCCTCGTCGCTCCAGGTCCGATGCGCTCGGAACTCGGCTACTTTGCCTGGACGCTCCTGCCGTGGGATCGTCTAGAGAGTCCAGACGCACCCCCGTGCGTCACCTCCGCTCTGGCAGGGAGGCTGCCGAGCACCGCGGAGTGGCGCCAAGGGGAGCCTCTGCGCTTGCGCCGCCAGCCGGCGGACCTCTGCGTGAAAACGCACGCGTTTGAGCCTGGCGTAGCTGCCTGCCGCTAGGCGTTTGCTTTTGTCCTGAGACGTGTAGGCAGGCGGTTGACAGGGGCTCTGGAGTCCCGCGTCTTCAGATGATGCGCTGGTTTCCCCTCTTGCTACTCCTCTAGGAAGCAATTTCCCTCGAGCCGCTTGCTCTCTATGTGCAGCCTTAACTTCACACTGGTGGAAACCTGACCTGGCCGCAAAACTCGACAATCCATGTTCCTAGGGCTTGTTCCCTTCTGCACTTAAATCGGATTGCTAGTTGAAGGGAATCTTGGAGTTCAATTACCAATCCTTTAATGCCCTCTGATATCTTGATCTGAGTAAATGAAGATAAGTTTATACAATCTCAAAGATCTCCTGTTTTTCTGCAACAACTTTATGATATTTTTTTGGTTTTTCGAGACAGGGTTTCTCTGTGGTTTTGGAGCCTGTCCTGGAACTAGCTCTTGTAGACCAGGCTGGTCTCGAACTCACAGAGATCCGCCTGCCTCTGCCTCCCGAGTGCTGGGATTAAAGGCGAGCGCCACCACGCCCGGCAAAATTTTTAGACAGGATCTAACTACGTGTGGCTGTCCTGGAATTCACCTTGTAGACCATACTGGCCTTGAACCCACATTGACTCACCTTCCTCGGCCTCCCGAGTGCTGGGAGCATTAGCATCACTATGCTCCTCGACACACCCTTGAATTCTTACTCCAAGTTTTCTCTGTGCAACGTTGATGCCTTTTAAACAATGCCTCCTACTGTGCACATACTGAATCTGGGACTTAATAATTAACTACATACATAAAAGTGTTGCTCTTTTGGCATTTATGTTCTAGTGAGGAGATCAAGAAGAATAGAGAGGGCTAGGAAAAAGTTACAATGGCCATATGGTAGACTCTAAGAGATGGTAGTTCATTTAACCGATCAGAAAAGGCCACTTGGAGGTTTTGATGTTATAAGCAGCTACATGAACAGCTAGGCCCTCCACTGGGCAAAGGGTAAAGCCATGGAAGCAGGAACATTGTTTTCTGGGGAGAGACAAGGCCAGTGTGACTGGAGTGTGATGAGCTGGGATTGACAGTTGTGAGAAAATGCTAAGAATGTTTTAAGTAGGAGGCAGGCGCATAGCTTTGTGCAGACCTGTGTTCTCTAGGTTTTGTGATAGCATTTCATGTAGCCCTGGCTAGCCTGGACTCACTATGTAACTGAGGTTGTTGGCTTTGTACCTCTGCCTTTACCTCCCTTCTAGTGCTGGGATCTGAGGCTTGTGCCACTTCTCTCAGCTTGAAATATGTTTTAAGAGCAGTGGGAAGACAGGATACAGCTTCCTATAGAAGGCTGATTTGGCTCATTCACTTTGGACCACATAAAGCAGTCACTGAAAATAACGGCTATGTTGTTTCCTGAAAGTGCTTTTCCGACTCCTTCCCAAGCTACAGTTCCCCTGCCTCTCCCTTTAAGAATTTATTTTGTAGCGGGGCGGTGGTGGCGCACGCCTTTAATCCCAGCACTTGGGAGGCAGAGGCAGGCGGATCTCTGTGAGTTCGAGACCAGCCTGGTCTACAAGAGCTAGTTCCAGGACAGGCTCCAAAACCACAGAGAAACCCTGTCTCGAGAAAAAAAAAAAAAGAATTTATTTTGTGCGTGGTGCGTCTGCCACTGGATGTGCGTGGAGGCCAGAAGACAACTTTGGGGAGTTAGTTTTTCTCTTCCTACTGTTTGAGTACCTGAGCCAGGACTCAGGTTCTCAGGGTTGGGGGCAAGTATGCCCTAGTGGTTGAGCCATTTCACCAGACGGCCTGCTCTAAAACGACCTGCTCTATCTGTGAATTCTCGGACGGCTTATGGATGGACTTCAAAATGTCATCTTGAGCATGCTCAAAGTGTGGGGGATCAAAGATGGTGTAAATCTGTGTGTATATTATAAAAGGGAAGATGTGAAGATTTCATTCAGATTCTAGGAAGTCATCTAAAGATTAAAAACAGTGATTCCAAACATTTTTCATCTGTGAGATCTTGTTTATTGTACTCCGAAAGAGTAGGACATAATGTCAATTTGAGGCCAGACTGGTTCTTTGGACTGTCTTCTCATTTATGAAATGAAAACTCTGAGAACTGAAACGACACATTGCTCAGAAAGCCTTCAATGATAAAGCATCACGTGCCACAGTGTTGCACAATGCCACTATCCTAAGCATCTGCATCCTTGCGAGGCAATTCATAGACACTGCTTCTGTAGCATTCCGGGATCTTCATGTCTCTATTCTGGGTCGTGTACCAGGCGAAAAAAGAAACGAAACCCAAAAACCCGGTCTTTCAGAAGTTAATCGTCCAGCGGAAGCCCTGAAAGATCCAGAGCAGGATAGACTAAGCCCATAAAATGCCCGTAGGTTTGAGTAGATACACGATCAATAACCACTATACGTATACAATTGCACGTTATGGAAAGGCTTCTGGAAACAAGGCGATCGCTCCTCTCACCAGGCAAATACCGAGCAGTAGTTTTTGTGAAAAGGAGCCTATCTATCTTTTGTGCAATCTGTTTAGTTTACAGTGCATGCTCAGGGCACTCCTTATCTTCGTGCTGGGAACAAAGTACACACACCCCTTTTCTGAGACCCAGGGCCTAGGATTTCCCAGAGCGGGATGGGGATGGGCTCCGGGCCTGCGGGACCACACAAAGGGGGCGCTTTGCCTGCTCGCACACCCCCACGCCCCGGCCCTCCAGTTGGGGTTCGCCTTCAGGGTCCCTCGGCCCCGCCCCTGCAGTGCCCTCCCAGCCTCTTGCGCGCGCCCCTCCTCATCCGCGGGCAGCCGGAAAACCCGGAGCGAACCGGCCCGGGCGGCGGCGCATGCTCAGTCGCGGGCAGGTTCAGCTTGCTAGTAGGAAGCTCCAGCGCTACACCGGCGGCGGCGGCGGCGGCGGCGGCGGCGGCAGCGGCGGCAGCGGCGGCAGCGGCGGCCGGATTCCCCCGCAGCGACCTCGGGCTCTTTCCCGCCCCCGCCCGACCCCGGACCCGGGGTTCCGCCACGCACCGAGCCTCGCGCTCGAGTTCCCCGTAGGCGAGCGGGCGCCACCGACCCGAGCGTCCCTCCACGCGCCGTCTCTCGGCGGCCCAGGCCGTGCCGGGGAGCGCAGCCCCGGTTGCGGGCGGCGGAGGGCGGCCCGGGGCGGAGCGGGGGGCCTGCCCCGGGCGGTGGTGCGGGATGCCGCCGCCGCCACCGCCGGGTTGCGTTGGTTCTCGGCGACCGGCGCGCGTGTCGGGTGGGTGTCCGGCCGCGGGCCTCGCCCCCCAGCCGCCTCGCCAGCGCTAGCCGGGCCGCGCTGCGCCCCGAGGGGGCCGGGCTGTGCGCGGGCTGCGGCCCTGCTCCGCACCGCGAGCCGCCGCCCCTCCGCCAGCTCCGAGGCGCCCCGCGGGCACCATGCAGGCGCAGCAGCTGCCCTACGAGTTTTTCAGCGAGGAGAACGCGCCCAAGTGGCGGGGGCTGCTGGTGCCTGCGCTGAAAAAGGTAGGAGCGCCGAACCCGCTTCCCGGGCGCAGTCGGCGCGGGGCCGGCCGAGGGCGGGGAGGCGGGGCGCGCACCGCCGCCGTTGTCCCCGGGAGGACTGCACAGGCGGCGAGGTTCCCCGTGCCCGGCTGCTCCAGCTGTTGACACTCGGCCGGGGTGCATGGGAAGGGCCGCACACAGTCGGGGAGGGTTGGCCCGGATAATCCAAGCGCGGAGGCGACAGTTGGGGGAGCCTCGGTTTACCGTGGAGGTCAAAGAAGGCCACTGCCTACCTTCTCAGTCTCAGCGAGCTGCGGTCAGCCTCCCGTTTTAGGAGTTCAGTGCGCCCTTAGTGGCTCGAGAGTGCCCTGCCACAGTGCTTGCCTAAGTAATTGCGAGGTAGCCTGCCAGCAAGAGCACGGCCTGCTTGGTTTTGCTCGCCCTCACTCATAACTCCCCGTTCTCTTGACACCCTCCTGCCCCCATGATGCCCATGCCACTGTGTTCAGATGGGTTTTTCTGGCGAGTCTGAGTATCTTCGGAACCCTTGTTTGGTTTGGCATTTTGCATTTTCAGTCTTTGTTACTTTGAGTTTGCCAGAGGTTAAAGTAAATTATTTGGAAATGTTGTTACATTTTAAAAGCTCCTAAAGCAACATTGTGAATCGTCTGTCCTTTGGTTTGGCATTTTGAATTTTTAGCCTCTGTTTGTTACTTTTTTAGTTTGCTAGTGGTTAAATCTTTGGAAATGTTGTTACATTTTAAAAGCTTCCAAAGCTACATTGTGACTTAGTAAATACTGTACTAAGGCGTCTGAAACGGGTGTTTGAATGGATTTTAAAACAACCAGATTGTTTTTTGCTTTTATTTGCTTTACCTGTAAAAATTTCTTTACTCTTTCAGTAGTATTAATTTAGATTTCTTGTAGCTCAGATAATTTTCATGCTATCTTTGCTAAAATAGTTTTGTTTCTATTGAGAATTGAGAGTTTGCTGTACAATTATGCGGAGCCCCCCTCCCCCCTTTTTAACCAGGATTTTGAAAGGTGTTTCATATTCTTCAAAGATCAGCGACTTTTCGTTTCTCCTTTACCCTGTTCCATCCTTCCCCTCTTGGTATCTTATGGCGGAAATGGCTTTGTTGGAAGAAGACCCTGCTTTTGTTTTTCAGATTTAGGTTACTGGTTTTTTTACCCTCATGTGCCTCGCTGCTTTCAGACCCCTGTGGTGTTTTCTAAGAAAATCAAAGAGACCACCTTGTGCATACTTTGTTCATTAATGATTCCAGGAGGCCTCACTCCGTTTTGACTTTGGCTTTACCTGCACTTAGCTTGTAGAAGTGTGCCTTGTGATGCTAGAAGCTTGGCTTCTGGACAAGATGAGACAGAAAAGTTGATTTCTATGTATAAAAGCCCTCACAGAATACTACCAGTTTGGGGTAGTTGGCTTAAAAGCATGTAGCTCCTATTCTAAGGAAACCTCCAAAATAACACGAGAATCCTTTGAAGTGGTGGAAAGTGTATTGTAGACGTTGGCAGACCTCTCTAACCTGCCACATGGGTGGCCCTTGCTGAAATCTATTCACAGACAAATTTTGTTTGGCTGGCATTGTGATGTTTTTGTTTTTCAATTTATGTAATTAGTCGCCAGTATCTTAAAATGGGAAATATCACATATGGTCTGAACTCCTAATTTTTCTTTAGTTGTAGATAGTCTTGCCATACATTTTCACACAACAGTAAATTGCTAGACTTGTACATGGCTGCCTTCTTTAGAAAGGGTTGTGTTTCCAGTTTACCATAGTGTTCATGTTCTGGAGCCTCATGGTTGGTTGGTTTTCCACTTCAAGCAGAGATTTCCCTACATAAGTGATATGTTTACAGAATCTCACTAAGATGTAAGAGTCTTCCCTTCACTTAAATTCTCACCTACAATCCTCTCAAGATACCTAAGACAGGTTGGACATATTTCTCATAATCTGAATATATTCTTCTAGTTTAAAATTATTGAATTATCATCTGTGTGGTGGGTATTTCATGTAGATGTGTCCTGGGACATTTTGTGTGGGAGTGTCCTTATCTTGAACTCTTTCTTCAGACTTTAAACTACTTGTATAATGCTTAACTATGTCTTTTCTTACCGGAGGCTTTTTGGACAGGCTGTTCCTTTTATCTGGTCTAATACTACTCAACCTCAGAGATTTTCTCAAACCCTCAGGGCTGAGTTGGATAGTGCTCCATTGTTTCCTCCTAGCATCCTACCTAACTCAGCAGTGAAACTGAAGTTCAGATTTACACGTCCTCAGTCCCCAGCTAGAGAATGGGAATGTTATCTTACCCTACTGGACTTCCATCCAGTGCTGTGTCTGACACCTGTTAGGACTCATTTTGAACGAGTGCCTTGTGTGCTACTTTGAGTTTAACACACAGAGGTTAAAGTAAATTATTTGGAAACGTTGCTACATTTTAAAAAGCTTCATTGTGACTTAGTAAATCTTCAAATTGTCTTCCCTCTTTTGGTTTGGCAGTTGGAATTTTTAGCCTTTGTATGTTACTTTTAGTTTGCCCGTGGTTAAAGTTATTTGGAAATGTTGCCAAGTGCATAAGGGGATACTCAAAATAAAACTCGCCCCCCCACCAGTTTTTAACTTGGTTAATGACTTTAGAATTTTATTTGATTGGCTCAAAACGCTGGTCATCCCTGCCTCTTCTCTGTGTATTGCTGCCCACCTTCAGGCAAAGCCTCATGTTTATGAACCTCTAACATGGTTTTGTAACCTACTCTCCGAAGTGCTTGGAGTTTCCTCCCCTGGATTACTGGGGTAGCCTCTCAACTGAGTCCCTTGCCCCAGCCCATTTGCCTTTATATATTTCAAAAGTTATAATATACCTTTGAAAGTGTTAAACATGTGTTTGTTCAGGATTGTTGATGTCCTTTAAGTTAAAATGTAGTTTTTAGCATGGGATTTATACAATGGCTCTACCCTGATCTTCCTATTTGATTCCCTACCAAAGTATTTCTAAGATGGGACAGCTACTTTTCCTGAAAGTGTTTATCAGGCCCACGGTGTTTTTCCTTACTACATCTGTCAAAGACATGGTGCTTGTCTCAGAACAGGTATTCGTCCCTGGCACTATGGATAAATGGCATGATTAAAAAAGACTAAGTGGAAGGTGGTAGCGAGTATTTCTGGAGAAAGAACTCATTTTTAAGAAAGGGTTTTTGTTTTTTAGACAGGCTCATCCTGTAGCCCAGACTAGTCTTGAACTTGTAACTTAGCTGTCCTGAGTCAACCGTCCTAGTGCTGCAGTCACAAGTATGGGCTAGCATACCTGGCCTATGAGGGGTTTTAAGTAGGAAGCAACACTGATTTGAATTTTAGAAACTTTACTTTGTTCAAGGAAGGGGAGGAATGGGACCTAAGGTAAGAGAGAGAAGCTGAAGCTTGCTTTACTAAGTTCATCTAGGAGAAGAAATGTATTTGCATTAGGATGGATGCTATGTGAGCGGTATTGAGAAGGTAGAGCTGTCAGGACTTAGCATCTCACTAATGATTGCAAGAGTGTTAAAGTGTGAAGAATCTTTTCAGGCTTACTTGAAGTTCGTCACTGGACTTTGGGTGGATGAGAAGATTTGGAACATGTTGATTTTAAAGGCCCTTTGGATTGTCTAGGCATATTTCTCTGGTTGGCAGCTTGTTTTTGATAGCTGATGCATTCGATCTGGAAGTCTGAGATAGAAACCTAGATGAGGTCTGTGTTTATAGAAAGACTTATAGTACAAGTCAGGTTTAGTAGTATAAGCCTGTCATCTCAGCTATTCAGGAGATCCATACAGGAAAAGTAGACATTCAAGGCCTGGACAACTTTTTCAAAACCCTGTCTCACAATAAAATGTAAGAAAAGAACTGGAGATGTAGCACAGTGTTAGAGTGGTAGAGCGCAAACCCAGTGCATGTGAGATCCTGGGCTCAGTCTCCGTTCAGATGAGCATACATAGGACTATGTGGTAGGTCTGCTTAGCTCCTAACAACTATCTAAATGTCTTATTTGTCTAATGGTAATCAACAAGGAAATGAATATGTATAGCCATATAGTGCAATAAAAGGGAATATGGGTTACTGATATATATGGCAATGTGGCTAGCCCATTTCATAACGGACAAAGCCAAACTAAAACATTATGTTCTATATAGCTGTACTTTAATAAAATTGTAAGAAATACAAACTAATGAAGATCATTGGTTATTATAAAGACAGGCTTTTAGGTTAAGTGTGCTGACATACGCCTGTCATCACAGCATATAAGAAGCAAAGGCAGAAGGATCAGGAGTTAAGATCACTCAGCTACACAGGGAGTTTGAGACTGAAGGAACAATAACAGAACCAAAGAGACTTATGTTTACTTATCTTGATTGTGCTGAAGGTGTCATATGTTGGTATATGCTAGCTATTGTCAGACTATGCAATTTAGATATATGCAGCTATTGTTGACTAGTTGTTTCTCAAAGAATAGTAATGTAGCCATCATCGTAGAGTCTATTCCTGTTTCACCACGTTTGCTTTATCAACATGCCTATCCACTCTTACCTCCCATCAATCTATTGTTTTGTTTTGAGACGGTCTTACAGTGTAGTCTGGAACTCACTATGAAGCCCAGGCTGGTCTTAGACTCATGACAACCTGTAGCACAAATTCTAATTGTTCTTAATAAAAACTTGGAGTCAGATATTAGGGGGTGAAAGCTGAGAGATCAGAGAAGCAGTGCTGCCAGCCACTAGAGACCTTTTCCCTCTAACGAGTCCTCAGACCAAAAGGGTAATCCTGCCCTCAGACTGTATCTGAGTTCCTGTCTCCTTCCGCCTTATATTCCTCTCTCCACCTAGCCACATCCCTTCCTGTTTCCACCTCCCTAGTGCTAGGATTAGTGGGACTCCCAAGTACTGGGATTAAGGTGTGAGCCACCACCGCCTGGCCTCTAGTGGCTTAGCTTTGCACTCTGATCTTCAGGCAAACTTTATTTGT